CCCCCCCTCTCCTGCTTTCCCTTACAAGAACTTGGCCACTTGGGAGACTCGAGTCAACAAATTACAGCAAGTGATTGTTTTTTTAAAAAAAAGATATCAAGTTAAACACAGGTTTGTTTAAACAAGCACAGTTTTTGTTCCAAAAAACATTAAAAAGCACCCTCCCTCCCCTGGGCACGCTGGCGAGTACGGTGGACATTTAGCTGGGACAGCCCCCGCAGGTCTGGCTGCTTCTCATCTCACTCCCGAGCTGCGGCCCTCTCTGTAGCCCCAGCAAGGTGGCTGTGCAGAGAGAATGAGAAAGCAAAGCTCTGGATTCCAGCCCCTCGGTCTAGAACTGGGGGAAAGAGAAAAAGAAGAAAACCCTGGTTAAGCCAAGAAGCGCATTCACGCAAAATGTATTTTCACCTGCCCAGAACCCCTTCCAGCACCCCCCCCCCACCCTCCAAGGGCAAAATAAGTACAAGTTATACGATCCTAATGCCATCTCTCCCTTAACATACACCACAGCTCTTGTGCTTTCATTGCTGGAGGCAGGACAATTGAGGCAGCAGCAATGCCTTCCTACGCAGAGTTCGACGCTTTTAAGCTGAATGAAGACTTGGAGTAACTCTGCTTAAGACGGCACCCTTAGATTATATTACACGGAACGCTTCAAGACTCCAACCAATGGCTCCCTCTAAGCTGTGGAGTCTTGTGAGCAAAAATTCTACTTGGTGAGCTACTGGCATCACAGTTGTCAGCAAGCGATTTGGCTGCTGCATAAATTAGTTTGCTCTGAAGCCATCCTTCCCGAGCTAAGACAAAAATGTGTGAGACAGAGGCTAAAAAACTGTGAGCTAGCTCACACTAACTCAGCTTAGAGGGAACACTGATTATATTTGATTCCCACCACAAGCTTTGTTAGAACGAGTCCAAATGCATTCATTCAGAAAAGTCTATAGCTTGTTACTACAACTCCTTTCCCTCAATTCTTTTTATCATTGCAAGTCCTTCTCTTAGTGCCGTCACCCATAGAAGTAAGGTGAATAGTAATCACGGACAGAGCTTTCTAAGTAGCAGTTGCCCCAGTTGTTGGAACATCTTTCCCAATGCAGGCTGACTGGTAACTATTTTACTGGCTTTTAATTTAAACACAAAGGGAAACATTCCTCTTCACCCATCCTTTCAGCTAGCTGACATCTTTCTGGGATTTTCATACCACTCTCTATGGCTAGCCTTCTGTTTACAAACAACTTTTATATTGCTGGTTTTACTGACTGTTTTCACTGCTGCGAGTTTTAGTGTCTGGATCTTAAAAAATTATTTGAAATTAACCATATTATTGTTTTATCATCGCTGTTAGCCACTTCCAGCAAGATTTTTAGAAATGCAGGATAGAAATATTCTAAGTAAAATAATACTGACCCTAAAGGATAAGATGTGCAATACTGACTTCTGGCTATACCCAATATATTTCACCATTAAGCCAGAGTTCAGAGATATAGATAATATTGCAGCACAAAGGCCCTTAATGGCTCCAAAATACTTAGATAGCTAGCTGAGTCACCTAATTTCAATGGGAAAAGGTCTCCTTTTTTATTTACAAATAATTCTGGCCACACCAGCCCCTGGTACTAAATAGTCTTCCTTCTACATAAGATGCTGGCAGTCTGATGACCTGTCTACTCATTTCCTGCAAGCCACCAGTGAATTCCAGCACATCATTTGGGCATCACTTCTGTAATACTTCGATTGGCTTACATTCTTGAGGAACTCCTCAGCCACAATGCGAGCCCTGGCATTGACAGACAACTTCATCTCGCTGATTTCCTTGTCGATTTCCTCCATGAAGTGAATGACAAAGTCCACCAGCTTGTGCTTGTACATCTGTTCTGTATGGAAGTTTGTGATCAGGAAGCTGATGTCATAGCCCTGAAACATAAGAAGAGCAGTGAGAGATTAGCATACGGTCAGCTGAGACAGACCCATCATTCCTTCTGTTGGCTCTTATAATCTACTCACCACTGGCAGAAAAAAATCAGAAGCCCTAAAATTGTTTATTAATAATCTAGAATAATGGTTCTCTATCTCCAGAAGTAGTAATACCTCAAGATAACTGCAGCTATGTTTGGGGTTTCTGGAACAGCGACATCTGGAAGCCAGACTGTACTAACCACAGCATCAATACACCCAAGTATTCATTTACTAAATGGTGTATTGCCTACATGGAGAGACACTGAAAAGAATCAGGAAATAGACATGGCACATTGGGTTTGATCCCAAGCCCTTCCGGTTGTGTGACTCCCACATCACCAATCTGACGGTGGCTACCTTCCATTATTCTGAGAGTATGTGAGCTTCCCTGTAAACAAACTCAGAACCCAAGGGGAGGGTGTTTAGACTGGAATTCAGTCACCAAGCCCCACCTGGGACCCGAGTATTCCAAGGGGGTTGCAATGCTACAATCTGAGACATGGTGAAGGGTCAAGCTAATTCCTAGCTATTGTCATGGCTGGAAATAGAATATAAGAGGAGCCCCGCTGGCCCACACCAAGGGTCCATCCAAGCTCTGATCCAACAGAGCCCAATAACAGGAGACTGGATTTATACCCCGCCCTTCAGTCGGAGCACCTTACAATCTCCTTCCCTTCCTCTCCCCACAACAAACACCCTGGGAGGTAGGTGGGGCTGAGAGAGGTCTCAGAGAACTGCTGTTGAGAGAACAGCTCTGAGAGAACTGTGACTGACCCAAGGTCACCCAGCACCTGCAATATAGAAGAGTGGGGAATCAAACCCAGTTCTCCAGATTAGAGTCTGCTGCTCTTAACTACTACACCAAACTGGTGTAAGACGCTTGCAGGAAGCCCATGAGCAGGACATGGGAAGCAGACCTCCCCTGCTGCTGCTCCCTATGACTGGTATCCAGTTGCATATTTCCTTTGAATGTGGAGATTCCACAAAGCCATTATGGGTTAAAAGCTGTTTGTAGACCTAGACCATGGCTTTCTCAACCCCCTTTGAAAACCATCTAAACTAGGGTACATTACCCTATCCTGTGGAAGAAAGTAAATATTGCTAAACAAACATTATATGAGGAAGTATTCTGTATGTTTAGCATTAGTATTCCTCAAATCAGCCAGTGCAAAGATAAAAAGTACATACAAACATTCTTTAGCCAGTCAGCAATAAATGTCACTTGTGACCTTAAGCAAATCAGCACCTCGCACAGAGCCAAGACCCTGGTCAGCAATGTTCCCTCTAAGCTGTGGAATCTTGTGAGCAAGAATTCTACTTTGTGAGCTCCTGGCATTAAAGTTGTGAGCAAGCTATTTGGCTACTGCATAAATCAGTTTGCTCTGGAGCCATCCTTCCTGAGCTAAGACAAAAACGTGTGAGCTGGAGGCTAAAAAACTGTGAGCTAGCTCACACTAACTCAGCTTAGAGGGAACACCGCTGGTCAGGTCACCTCAACTCACCTCAACAGGTTTCCGACGTAAAATGAAGAAGTTCTCCGCTCTCATCATCATGAAGCGCATGAACTTGTGACACAGGATCTTCTCAATCTCATCTGCCTGCAGAACCAGAAAAGGAAGCCCTTCAGCATTTCCACCAAGGTAAGCTGGAGTGACTATCCCAACCCCTTTTTCTCTTGGGCTCTGCTTACCTGCTTCACTGCAATGCTGACTCGCACAGAGTTGATAGACCCTTCAATCAGGACTTTCTCTTTCTCATTTCGGCTGATGATCACAGGCTGCAACAACAGCTCCTTGCTGCTTCTGCAAAGCCACAAAGAGACATACATTTGTATCAAAGAGGCACAGTGCACACTCCGGTACAAAATCATCCAGATTTCTCCCCATATGCATGCATCTGACATACACACAGTATAAGCCTATATTCAGCTTTCAGGAGGCCCCCCCCCATTCAGAAGCATTTTTACAAGTCTTGGAGTAAGGGGAACAATTGTGTAATTTCCTCAGCCCTTAGATTTTGTAGAACACATAAGACCTGCAGATTACATGAGGGGTATCTCCTCACCCGCACCAGTTGCTGTATGGCAACTTATTTATGAGTGGTTTGTTGTGAGGGAAGTGGGGAGAGAAGACAAGAGGATCTGATGTGCAGGAGGCAGCCCAGAAGCCATATGTCATCTATCCCTGCCCCAAAGACAAAGTATAGGAGCGATTAATTCAGTTACTTGATCAAGAACATTCCAGTAACATGACTAAATGGGCACAGCCTGAATAAATTCTTAAGATTTTGCATAAAGCCAGAAAATAGCACATTAAAAATGCCATTCAGTTCTATGGGTTGGATTCTGATCTCCTAATGTTAAAGGAGCCTCAATCATAATTTGGAATCCAATAGGTTTAGCATGATTACATTATACTGCAAGCTGTGAAATCTGGCAAGGACTACTTAAAGGAGTCGCATGCATCATCTGGAACCCAACACACACGTATTGTTTACAGCAGCTCTAGAGACTATAGTCTGGGGATTGTGTTTCTCCTAAAATAAGATTAATTTGGCAAGAACTTCCTATATGATTTAGACACTTTGTATGGGATATTTAGGCACTGCGGTGGCTCAAGTGGTTAAGACGCTGAACTGCAGGCTGTGGAAGGTCAGTAGTTCAGCAGTTCGAGACCCGAGTGGCCGCACAATGGGGTGAGCTCCCGTCTCTAGTTCCAGCTCCTGCCAACCTAGCAGTTCGAAAGCAAGAAATTGCAAGTAGATAAATAGGTACCACTTTGGTGGGAAGGTAACAGCGTTTGGTGCGCCTTGGTGTTTAGTCATGCCGGCCACATGACCACGGAAACGTCTTCGGACAGCGCTGGCTCTTCGGCTTTGAAACGGAGATAAACACCACAACCCTAGAGTCAGACTCGACTGGCTTTCGAGCAAGGGAACCTTTACCTTTATGGGATATTTATTATGCTGAATATATGGAACATTCATTTATGCACCATGTTGTATTTATAGGTTATTTATATATTATTATAATATTTATATTTTTATATTATTTAATTTAGTAATGTATGGATTATTAGTTATTCACATGGACTCTTTTATATCTTGGAAAATATTTAACAAATACTCCCTTCTGGATGCCACACAGCTTCACGTCTTCCTTGAACAACCCAACCTGGATATTTTAAAAACCACATTTGCCCAGAGAAACCTACCTACACACTTTGGGGAGTCCTTTCTGTGTCCGCATCACCCTCTGAGGTGTGGAAACATGAGAAAGAGTTTTTGTTTTGCTTTTAAATAGAGGCACATAACCGTTGGAGCTCTTTCCTCAAGAAGACCAGGCTTTCTCGGGAGGTAGTGGGCTCTTCTTCTTTGGAGGTTTTTAAACAGAGGCTAGAATGGATGTTAATGGATGGCCATCCGTCCTCTGCCCCTGACATTCTGGCTGAGGCTCCGGCGGCTGTGGTTGGACGGGTGCGGCAGAGCTGGTTGAAGCTTAATCCATCGAAGACGGAGGTCCTGTACCTGGGTCAGGGGGGAGTGGATGTGGGTATCAGACTCCCCATGCTGGAAAGGGCACCTTTGGTGCCGGCCCAGAAAGTGAGGAGCCTAGGAGTAACACTGGATGCCTCCCTGTCCATGGAGGCCCAGGTTACTGCAGTCGCCAGATCTGCATTTTTCCATCTTAGGCAGATTAGGTTCCTGAAAAAAAAGGGGGGACGCGGGGGGGGGGGGATTTGTGAATTTCCTGCATTATGCAGGGGGATGGACTTTATGACCCTGGAGGTCCCTTCCAGCTCTATGATTCTAAAACGTACCTTAGCCTTCTTATAACAGGTCAAGGTGGTATTACTTAACACACCTTTAACCAGGGTAACACTTAATGATTATAGGCTTCTGGTCTGACTTGTTAGTGCAGTGGTTGAACTAGGATTTGGGAGATCCAGGTTCAAAACCCCACTCTGACATGCAAGCTGGCTGTGTGACCGCGGACCACCCACACTCTTGTAGCCTATAGCCTACCTAACAGGGCTGTTGGGAGGATAAAATGAAGGTGGGGAGAATGAGCTGCTTTGGGTCCCCACTGGGAAGAAAGGGGGCTATAAACATCTGAATACTGATATGTGGGTTCTGCTGCTGTTTTTGATCTGATTGGTTACCATGTTCCCTCTTAATGTTTGTTTTTCCCCTACTGAGTGGAGCAGTTCACATCCTGAGCAGAATATAACTGCTGTAATCTTAAAATGTAAAGTACATTATAAATCTACTAACAGAAAAGTCCACAGAGACCTATTCCAATGCTGTAGACTGATAAGAGACTGATGGAGGTTGCAGCAGTCATAAATGATAAGAGATGCAGCCGGCTGTTACATTCGCCACAAAAAGTGATTCAGCAAGCATCAAAGGAAGCATGAGAGATGCAGCAGGCAGTTATATTTTCCACACAAAGTGATACAGCAAACATCAGAGCAAGCAACACGCCTCCTAGGCAAAAACTGTGTGTTTTGACAGATTCTTCTTCAGGCAGATATATTTTTCCTGGAACCAAAGCTCACAATCTTACAGTGCATAAGTCAACAATTCTATAGAAGGCTTCTCCAGTTCAATTTTTGCCTAGGAGGTATGTTGCTTGCTTTGATAAGAATAAGCTGCTTTGGTTTCCCACCGGGTGAAAAGGCACAGTATAACTGAAGTATATAAAATAAAATAGGGGCCCACGTTCTTTGCTCTTGGGCGGGAGGTACAGAGCAGGGCCTCCAAGTTATTTAATTGGCAAATAGGTTCAAACAGGAACATTCAGCCTTTCAGCTGTTATGGATCCTTAGCTGCAATGAATGTCCTGCTAGGATTGTGCTGCAAACTAGAGAGGAGGTTCCTCAGCCTGGCAACAGAAGCCATGTTCTTTCAGCAGCAGGCTAATCAGCCTGTGCTTCCTTTGTACACATACAGCTGCACCCTTAGCTCACACAAGATTGTGTAGGCAGTAGAAAAAGGGAATGATCATACAGCTGATCTCAGTCCCTGTGTTTGCAAATAGGAGGGGCAACCCACTCTACAACTCCCTGCATACCTATGCGACCCAACAGATAATTTTTTTTTGCAATCAAATCATAGATGACTTATGGCAACCCCATAGGATTTTCAAGAAAAGAGACATTCAAAGGTGGTGTGCCATTGCTTGTCTCTGCATAGCAACCCTGACTTCCTTGGCGGTCTCTTATCCAAATACTAACTAGGGCCAACCCTGCTTAACTTTTGAGATCTGATGAGATTGGGCTATCCCGGGCTATCCAGGTCAGCGTGCAATAATATATATTTTTAAAGTAGCACAGCAAAATCCCAGTTCTCACCCTTGCCCATTTGAGGTGACCTAAAACACATTTGTGGATCACAGTATATTAGTCATGATTAAATGTTGAGATTACTAATTTGGTTCACAGTACAGACCCTCTTTATAACTCTGTGCTTGCTATGCCCAGGGTGCAACAATACTTACACTAGGGCAGGCATGGCCAAACTGAAGCTCAAATGGCCACCAAATGAGAAGGGACCACTCACTGGAGAAGTCCCTCATGCTGGGAAAGACTGATGGCAACAGAAGAAGGGGATGGCAAAGGATGAGATGGTTACACAGTGTTATCAATGCAACGAACTTGAAATTAAGCAAACTCCGGAGGACAGTGGAGGACAGGAGGGCCTGGCGTGATGTTGTCCATGGGGTCGTGAAGACTTGGACTCAACTGTGCGACTGAACAACAACAACAACAAAAGAAATGCCTGGAAGCAGAAAATTAGCGTTTGTAGTTAGATAAGAATCCTACGTCCCTATTCAGCCCTAGGGGATCCATTGTTCTGAACTTGTGAATTAACTCAAATTCAGCAATTTCACCATTGTAATTTCTCCTTGATTTTTGTTTGTTTGTTTGATGACTGTCAGTTTTAGGTCAGCAATGGGCCTCGAAGACTAAAATGTTCTCCCACTGCTTTTTGAGTGTTGTGGTTTTTAATGTCAGATTTATGTCTGCTTATTTTTTTGCGTGGGGACTGTCCTTTTTGTCTGATGTAGAGAGTGGAAATCCATTGCTGGCATTGGATGGCATATATAACATTGCAAAAGGAACAAGTGAATGAACCTGAGATGGCCTGGCTGGTGTTGTTAGGTCCGGTGAGTGTGTTGTCAGAGTGGCTATGGGGACAGAGCTGGCATCTTGTTTGATGCAGGTACCAAAGCCCGTGTCCCAGGACATTTGGCATGCCAAGCAGACACCACACCACTATGCCACAGCCCTTCCACTGAAGTGAAGAGTGTGTTTGCTGAAGCCAGCATTTTGGGGAGGGATGTGCTTGGCTACTCCCGTCTGAGCAACTCTGGTTTAGAGCACCCTTTTGGCACCTGAGGCCCAGCCCTCACCGATCTCTCGGTGCACACGCTCCGTCACACTGCGGGCCCCCATGCCCAGCTCTTGGCCGTAGTATCGCTTGGCAACCTGCCAGATGTGGGTGTCCACGGGGACCGCCTCCGCCTTGTCCAGTGCCATCAGACAGACACAGTCAGCCACCTGCAAAGGAGGCAAAGAATGTCAGAACAGAATAGCCCTTTGCCACGGTCTATGCTTTTAGGGTCTACATTTTGATGCTGTGGCTGGTTTTGGGGGTTTTTTTACTGGCTTTTAATTAACAGCTTTTAATGTTTTCTTTTTATGATGTTCTAAGATGCCTCGGGCAGGTTCCCCAAAGAGGCGGCATAACATTTTCCTAAACAAATAAATACATTCCCCATGGGCACACGGCTCCAATCAGGCCACTGTCTACAACCCCTGCTCTCAACTCACCACCACTGTTGTTATTCTTGCCCCACTGCTACAAATATCAACCACCATCTCTGACCTCCCTCCTTAGCCCTTGTATGAAGTGGTCTGGAAGGGAGGCAAACCACTGGCTAGGCTAGCCTTGCCCCGCCCTTTTTACGCTGGCCGGAAATAGTTCTCCAAGGTCTCGAGCTGGGAAGCCTCCCCTGACAACTGTTACACAAGATCCTTCATATTTACGCATTTATCTACATTATTTGGAGTCCGACTTTCTCACAGGGACTCCAGGCAGGTACCTCATTGTGAGTTAGTGCAATCAACAAAATGGGACCAATGCATTTCGATATATGGAGTCCGGAGCCACCAGGAAGAAGAAGAAGAAGAAGAGATTGGATTTATACCCCGCCCTTCGCTACCCACAGGAGTCTCAGAGTGGCTTATGAACTCCTTTCCCTTCCCCTCCCCACAACAGACACCCTGTGAGGTAGGCGGGGCTGAGAGAGCTCTTGACAGAAACTGCTCTTTTTCAAGAACAGCTGTCCCAGAACTATGGCTTGCTCAAGGTCATCCAGCAGGTGCAAGTGGAGGAGTGGGGAATTGAACCTGGTTCTCCCAGATTAGAGTCCGCACACTTAACCACTACACCAAACTGAAGCATAGCATAAGCAATGCTCCCTCTAAGCTGTGGAGTGCTACTGCATAAATTAGTTTGCTCTGGAGCCATCCCTTCCTGAGCTAAGGCAAAAAATGTGTGAGCTGGAAGCTAAAAAACTGTGAGCTAGCTCACACTAAACTCAGCTTAGAGGGAACACTGAGCACAAGTATTACCTGCACAGAAAAGCCCTCCTGGATAGTTCAGTTTTGCATCATTTGCCGAAGGCCAGTGGAGAGCAGGGGGGTTTCCTGACCTCTTTAGACAGGCCTTTCCACAAGGTGGGAGCCACAACAGAGAACGCGCGGGTACAGGCAGTTGCTGGTTTTGCCCACTTGCAGGTTGCCCCTGCTGGCTCAAGCAAAGTTGTTGCGGCGGAGCATTGGGAAAGAGACAGTCCCACACATAAGAGGGGCCAAGGCCATGAAGGGCTTTGTATGTGACAGCCGATACATTAAGCTGAGCCTGGTGACAGACGGGCAGCCAATGGAGCGTCTGCAGAATGGGAGTAATGGGCATGCTTTGTCTAGCTCCGGTTAATAGCCGAGCTGTGGCGTTCTAGACCAGCTGGAGTTTCTGAGTCAATTTTGAGGGGAGACCAATGTACAGTGCATTGTAGTACTCTGGCCTTGATGTCCCCATGGCATGGATCCGGGTGGCCAGATCAGCTGTATCAAGGTAAGGGGCCATCTTGTGGGCTAGGCTGAGTTAGTACAAAGCCTTTTTTGCAGCTGCATTAACCTGTTTCTCCCGTAATAAGGCTGGATCCAGTATGACCCCAAGGCTTTTAACAGAGTCAGCAAGGGTCAGTTGAACTCCATCAAACGTGGGGAGAATACTGTCCTTCAAGACCTCCTCTTTTCCAACCTGCAGTACCTCTGTCTTTTCAGGGTTTAGTTCCAATCTGTTCACTTTTAGCCAGTTAACCACTGTGGCCAAGCAGCTATTTAGGACCTCTACCCCATCACCAGGAGATTTGGACAAGAATAAGGCTATATACAGCTGAGTGTCATCTACACAGTTGTAACTGGAATTACCAGCAATTGAATTTCAGACGTTCTGAAACGTAGGTTGCCAGAGGTTACGTTTATCTCCCCCTGGCGTGTTTCCCATTTCAATTCCCACTGAGCTGCACAGAACGTCTTGTTACAAGCCCTCCCCGCTTTAGTTATTGTGGCAGCGGGAACACTCACCTAGGCAGAGAGTTCCACCAGGTTGGAGCCAAAGACACAATGCTCCAGACCCAAGTAACAGCCACCAAGGGTCAGTTTCTTTTCAGTCACTCCAGTTGGGTATCAATGCAAGAATCAAGGGGCCAGCAGCTGGCCTGCACACATGACAATCATTTGGTTTTTTAATCGTTTGCTTGTGCGGAGGCAATAAGCACAATTCCATCATGTCACCTTTTGAAATAAGTCAGACTGCAGGGGTAGAGATAATGCTACCACAGTTCAGTGTATCAAAATCAACAGTGAAAGAGAATCATATAAAATCATAAAGTTGGAAGGGACCTCCAGGGTCATCTAGTCCACCCCCTGTACAATGCAGAAAATTCACAACTATTTCCCCCCCACACACTCCCAGTGACCCCTGCTCCATGCCCAAAAGGTGGCAAAAAAAAGGTACTCCCCCAAAACACCCAAAAAAACCCCCTCCATCATCCCTGGTTAAACTGACCTGGAGAAAACTGTTTCCTGACCCCGAAGTGGAGTCACAGAAAGTGGAGACACAGAAAGATATACAGGAACGGTACAGGGGGAGCAATTTTGATAACATGAATATTATCATGGAGATCAGGAGAGTCAGGCTGGTTACATGCCAGGATGTAGAGTTTCATGTCTACCACACACCAAGACAAAGTGATGGAAGGAGGAAGAGACCAGGTAAAGAACCAAGAAGAGATAAGAGAACAGAACTACAAGGTGAGCTGCAGCAGGAGCATGAAGAGCTGCAGATGAAAAGGAGGCATTCAGTGTACATGTGACATTCTGTGTACTCCTCTTTGAATCATGCTCTATATAAAGTGCTATGAGCTGGAGAAATAAGCAGAAACAGAAGCTATCAAAGGATATTTGTGATGGGGCAACTGGGAATGAACAGAGCAAAAAGAGGGAACACAAAGTGAAAAAAGCTATGGAAGGCCTGAAGAGATGCCATGGTCACATGGGAATCCAAAGGGAAACCTTATTTTGCTAACAGTTTATAATATTTTCAGAATGAGATCTCAAAGCAGGGAACAATACTAAACACGAATATACAGATTAAAATCCAGAAGATGAAACCTAAATCCAAGACAGTGTGAAATGATGACCACAATCAGAATACCACCACCATCTCTCCACCGCCAGACGTCATTTCATTCTGGAACCAGCTATAGTTAGGAGATCTGGCACATTTGGCTCCCATAGCAACAACCATGCCTTTTCATTCATTCTCCCATGACTTCCCTTTTCTATTCTGCTACTTCCTTGTGCTTTTCTACTTCCCACTGTGCTGCTTCAGCTCGCTTCAGAAATGAAACACAAGTACATTTTTATAAGAGCCAGTTGCATCTATCAACCATTAGTTATAAGCTCAGTATGTTAATCCTCTGTGTGCACCAAACATTATTTCCAAAGACAGTTCATCTACTTGAGAAGGAGCTAAAAGCTGCCAGCGAGACATGCCCTTCTCCCCATAAAACTCATACAGTCTTATACTCCTCCAACCCTTCACCTCTTTGTACCTGACTTCCACCTCGGGCTTGTTGTGCCGCTCCACCACCTGGGATGAGAAGTTCTCCAGGCACAGGGCAGCCTGCAAGGTAGCACGAACTGCATTGAGATAGGGGCGCAAGGTGGCAGTCTGTAAGGAAGGAGGCAAAACCATGAGGCACCAAAGAAACTAGAGAGTCCTAAAAGAGGCCTTTTCCCACTTGAGACAACACATCAATAACGACACCTTTTGCACAGTATGAATCTGTCAGGCCAATGGCTCAATTCTCCCCAAACTACGCACACTCTGTATTCCCAGCAAGCCTTAAGATCATGGCCTGAGCTGTCTTCTCTGCTATTGCTTTCAAACATCCAGCAAGATAAATGAGCTGCTAAGAAGGCTAGCACACTGCTTTGCGTCACTGAGGTTGAGCCTAACAAACTCTACAACACAGCTTTTGTTTCTGAATTTTGCTTCGGACCAACGCAGTTACCAGAAACCACCACCCTTTAGGAAGTTCAATGCAATAACTAGAGGGTCAGATTAGGCGTTCAAAACCCCACTCAGTCACAAAGCTCGCTGGGTAGCCTTCGACTAGTCACGCTACAGCATCCAGGCCTTCCCGGCAAGACTATTGCAAGGAAAGCTATTAACAGAGAAAACAATGTATGCACCCTGAGCTGCCTGGAGGAAAGACAAGATGAGCGTGGGAGAGACCAGCGAACAAGTCATCCCACCACCCACTGGACAAACCACCCATTACCTCGACACATCTCTCTCTCCGTCCCCATCACTTTCCCTCCCGCTAATGGCAGCTCTGACATATCCCCACCCTTCCTCCTGTCCAGCCGCCCACCCCCTCAGACTCACCATCGTAGCAAGGGAGGCGGCGGCACCTTTGGTCCAAGTCCCGGGAACGGAAGCGGAAATAACCCCTCCACCCAAAACTGCCCATCGCTTCCGGACTATCTGGACCGTCCCAAAGGGTGACGCGAGGGGGGAGTCGCTTTAGATCTCCCCCCATTTCGATTTCTGCTTTTCCATCGAGTTAACTGAAGAGTGAGAAAGATACCGACGGCCCCTACGCGCTATTTCCCGCGCGCCGCCACCCCCCCCATTTCACTGCCTTACTCTCCATACTTCCCCCTCCTCTTGTCTCGCAGTTGGTACAACCCAGCCTTCCTTACTCCATATTTGGAAACAAGAATGGGATGGGCGTTCCCGAAAAGAATCCTGCCAATGAAGGGGAGAGGAACTCCACCCGCAGAAAAGTTGGCTCTCAGCCAATAGGGCTTGCCCAAAAGGAAGGTGTCTAGCCAATAGAAAGGCAGAGTAATTGGAATAGGGCGGGGCCGGAAGTGGAGCTGGGGGAACGCAGGAGGAAGCCCTGCACGGCGGCGCTGAGATCTGCGGTCTCCGCCCCTCCCCCGTGGTCGGCAGCCTGCGCTGTCTCCTGGGGATACACGGCTCGGCCACCCCCTCAAGCAACGTGGGAGGTGGGTGTGACCTGGAAGGGAACGAGGAACTAATTCCTTAGAACCGGAAGCGACCCCTGTACGCTTTTTCCTCCTTGCGCCAGTGACCCTTCCTGGCCGCCCCATTCATCCGCGTTTGTGCATCGTGCAGAGTCCTTTCCTAACAGTGCCTGCGCTTCTAGTCCCTTTCCCCATGCATGCCTGCCCCTTCGCCCATCCTGCTTTCATTACGTCCTCAGTACTAGTTTCATATCTGCCTAACCCATTGCAGACACTCCTCTCTCCTATATGCTCACCTTGCTTTGCTCCCTTCTGATCTGCCATCTTTCCTAACCTCTCTCCTGCAGCCTGGCTTGCCTCACCAGTCTCTTCTGTCCTTCCCCTAAAATTCAGCAAATCAGATGATCTGCATACTTTTTAATCCAGTTCCTTCACTCTTTTAATTTTTTTTGCACTTCTCCCAATAACACCTAACATTCATCCTGTGCCTCTGCCTTTCCAATATTTCTGTCTGAACAACTGCCTGCCTTGACCTTTCCATAGGGTTAGAGATGGCAAGGCCTGTTTGCATACAAGTCCCTTTCAACGGCTGAAGAGATCTGCCCCAGTCCTGTCCTGGGCAGGTATTGTCTTTGTAGGTGTTGCACCTGCGTATGTTTTGCCCACCTTAATATCTTCCTTTCTTTTCCACAGGCCCAGCAGCACCATGTCTGAGCTGAAGGACTGCCCCCTTCAGTTCCATGACTTTAAGTCTGTGGACCATCTGAAGGTATGCCCACGTTACACAGCCGTGCTGGCCCGTTCAGAGGATGATGGCATCGGCATTGAAGAACTTGATACGCTGCAGCTGGAGCTGGAAACACTGCTGTCTTCTGCTAGTCGCCGACTCCGGGTGTTGGAGGCTGAAACTCAGGTCAGAGGATAATCCCATGGAATGGAGATGCTTTCAGTTATGGCCCAAAATACAGGTGTTGGTCTCTGCAAAAGTCAAGCACCTTTTTTTCCTCCAGATCACATCTCCGCATGGTTGGTATGAAGGCTTTTAAGGCAGATTCCACAGCCTGTGTGGTCCTCTGGTCAGTTTTGTGGTCAGCTGGGTACCATATGAGGCTGAAGAGTTACTTCATAGACTAGATGCAATGTATGGGAGACTCTGGCCTGTGAAGTTATGCTCTTGTATTGCCTCTGGAGCACATTGCTTCTTAGGCAGCCGAAGTACAGCAATACTGCAACCTCTTACTCCATTCCTGCCGATTTGCTTTTGGTTCATTATATTACCATGGACAGAGCCACACTTTGCATGCAAACGAAGCCTGCAGAGAAGGCATCAGAGTGACTACTGAGATGCTGATGGTTTGATTTAGCCTGCTCCTTGGTGAGCTGATGATGTGATGCTACCATCCTAAACATACCTAACCCTGAATATTCTCTTGGAATCAGTATTTTAACATCTGAGTAAATGGGTTTCAGACTGAAGTGTTTCAGTCAGTGTGCTGTTGCAAGTAGCGGCCCACCCTCCTAACCAGTATGAGAAAGCTGGGTGATGAAGGTGAATCATATGAGACCGTGCGTTTATCCCAAATGAGCAAAAATGGCATCATCCCTGCTGCCCATGAACCCCGTTCCGGCCCTCTGAGGCATCATCCCGAATCTCCATCTGGCAACATGCCACTCTCCCAAGTCCACCTTGGAGGGGTTTCCTCTCACTTCTCTTTAGGTACATTGAAGCCAGCCAGTCGGCTTTGGAAATTCTCGACAAAAGGGCCAGCAACACCCCTATTTTCCCTTTCGGGTCGCTGTTTTAAGTCTCTGCCCTAGTACCCGAGTCTTCTGCTACTCAACTGGTTACTGTGGGGACAGCTTTACTGCTTTTGTGCACTCCCTGGGGAAATAACCAGCACCCCCACTTGCCTCCCTTTCCTGGCACCTGTTTTAGATAGTCCGTTTGAATCGTGGAGATCTATGTGGTGTGGATATCAACTACCAGCATTTAAAGTTGATAAGGATTTGTTGAAAAAAGGGAAGTTGACATACATACTCTGTAGAGCAACAGGGCATACTCTTGTCTCTCCGCCTACATATGCCCTAGCTAGTTTTGTTCTGTTTAAACTTAAAAGGTGTGGCATCCTAAAGCTTCCTACTACCTTGGAGTCTTCGTCTAGGCTGCCTGCCCTTTGTCTTTTCCACATGGCAATGGTGGCTATCAAGATGGAGCCTAGATGTGAGAGCTTCTTCCTCCAGATGAAATCAGCCATAAAGGACTCCATTCCCTCTGTGCCAAGGAAATTTATATCCTGTGTCTGCGCACGCACACACACCAAAGATAGGTCAAATCTTCCCTTCCTGAGGTCTCCAGGAAGATACAATGTAGACGTCTACATCCCATGTCTTTGTCATTATTAAGTGTCAGATTCTAGCTAAGGTGTGAGCTGTCCAGTTTCATTGTTTTCTGCTGGGAGAGCCGTTTGTGTTTATAAAGCTTTGATGGTTGTGTACTTGACAACAGTTGACAGAGTGAGCGACACTTGGGAGCAATCAACTTCCACTTCTTACCTGTCTTTGCCAAAAACAAACTAACCCCTTTTAAAGTCAAGTGTGGGATATTGCAAGCCCCAAATCAGGAGACATTGGGATGTAACCCCTAAGAAAAGAACATTTCTCCACAAAAGGCTTATCTCCTTCACCACCCTATCCCCCATACTCTTCCCCATTAAAAAAAAAATCCCATGGTGGTTTCCATGTTATCTGCAGAAGTGAGGCAGGATTCACAAAAGTTCACGTTGAAATAAATGTGGTTAGTCTTTAGGGTGGTCTTGGAGCTCTGTTTTATTTTGGATGGCATCCTAGCCCCTATACCAGGATCAGAACTACTCAGGAATCCATGCAAGGCTGTACTCTGCAAACGGAACTCAAACCACAAGACTCAGAGTCTTACTTCACTGGGTGACATTGGGCTAGTCTTTTTCTCTCTTGGCCTAGCTTACCTGACAGGGTGGTGTTTATGAGCGTAAAATGAAGAGAAAGTTGATGGTGTAAGCCAGTGTTGCTTCTAAGCTGAGTTAGTGTGAGCTAGCTCACAGTTTTTTTAGTCTCCGGCTCACACAGGAAGGAGGGCTCCAGAGCAAACTAATGTATGCAGTAGCCAAATCGCTTGCTCACCACTTTAATGCCAGTAGCTCACAGAGCAGAATTTTTGCTCACAGGACTCCACAGCTTAGAGGGAGCCCTGGTGTAAGCTGCTATGAGCCCCTATTGCAAGGCATAAATAAATAAATTTGGACCAAGCATAGGGGCATGTAATGTTTTATAATGGATATCTTACCTAGCTGCTGGACAAGTAGGGATATTGCTTCAGATTTACGATTCCCAAAGGCTGAAGTTGGTTTTCCTTGAGGAGGACTCATTCGGACACCACCCTGTTACCTGTGTTGTGTGTGTGTACATGCACATTTTTTGGCCATAAAGCATAATCCTGCATTTCTGTTTTCTCCACAGCCTCTGCCCTCATCTCTCATTCAACGTTACACGAGCTGATAGCACCATTGCACAACATCAAGATGTATCATTTTGGTGTAGTGTAGAATATTGGACTAGGATCCAGGTTCAGATTTTACTCTTAATGCTCCCTCTAAGCTGTGGAGTCTTGTGAGCAAAAATTCCACTTTGTGAGCTACCGGCATTCAAGTTGTGAGCGAGTGATTTGGCTGCTGCATCAATTAGTTTGCTCTGGAGCCCTCCTTCTTGAGCTAAGAGAAAAATGTCTTAGCCGGAGGCTAAAAAGACTGTGAGCTAGCTCACACTAACTCAGCTTAGAGGGAGCACTGCTTACTCTTGACATGGAAGCTCACTGGGTGACCTTGGGCCAGTCCCTCCCTCTCAGCTTAACCTACCTCACCGGGGTTGTGAAGAGAAAAGGATGGAGAAGAGAGTGATGGAAGCCACTTTGGGTTCCTGTTGGGGGGGAAAGTTGAAGCCAAAATAAAGTAAATACTGTCGGTGATGATCTCACCCTGCTTGGGGAAGCCTGTACTAACACACCCAAACATGGCTTCTTTTCTCCTGCTCCGAGGGGGGTGATATTATGAAAGAGAAGCCCAGCACCAAAATCACCAGGGCTGCTGCACTCTTGAAGTGGTGGTCCCTGGCGGGCTTTTCAAACACAGATTCCCGCCCCCATCCAGATCCTGACAGACTGGCAAGACAAGAAAGGGGACAGGCGATTTCTGAAGCTGGGCAAGGAACATGAGTTGGGTACTCCTATCAAGCATGGCAAGCCCAAGAAGCAGAAGCTGGACGGGAAAGGAGGCCACAGCACAGGACAGGGCCCCGGTCGGCCCAAATCCAAAAACCTGCAGCCAAAACTCCAAGAGTATGAATTCCCAGATGACCCGATCGATGTGCCACGCATTCCCAAGAACGATGCACCAAATAGGTATGGGGGAGTGAGATTTGCATGACTTTGTAATATCAGTAATGATTCTTGGCTACATAGATGGTATTTCAAGTATGTTCTCTTGGGAGTCTTTCATAGAGGAGCTTTTCTTGCTGTGGGGGGTTATCTTCAGCATGATTTCATCTCTCGGAGGTGTTTCCTGGTTCTCCTGGATCGGCTTGGCCTTGTGGGTCTGACTTCCACTTCCACTGTGCCTGTGGGTGGGGACGAGAGAGGGGACCGATCAAGTGGTCTCTTTCCTCAGCCTTTTCCTCGCCAGCCACCTGCAAGCCCGGCCGTGTGTTCCCTTTCAAAGGGCCTGGTCTGGGGCTGTGGAGCCATCACCTGTGGTCCTCTAACAGCATTCTCATGTCTCATCTGCAACTGTTGGGGATGATCAGACAGGTGCACCGCTGCTTGGTTTCAGGGGCAATAGGGCTCCACATATAACCAGTTTGCTCTGTTGCTCTCTAAGTTCCCTGGGTGTGGATGGAGTTTGGAAATGGAGGATTCACAAACCGTTGTGCAAAAAAGCATCGCAGAAAAGAACTCCGGGATGCTGCCGCATGACCTCCTTGATCATCCTTGTGGAACTAAAAGCAAGGAGCGGATTCCTGTTAGTGAAGTGCTTTTGGACAGTGAGAAGTGATATGTTTTCTCATGGCTAACCCTTAGAGAGGAGTTGCTGCCACTGGTCCTGTAAGTGCAGCTACAATATACCCTTCCATTACCTGGAGCAACATGGGATGCCCGGCAGCCCTCTAAGGAATACAGGCCGCCCTCCATCTGGAACCCATGTGCCAGAATTGTGATTCTTTCATGTTTTGAATTGCGTTTGTAGGTTCTGGGCCTCAGTGGAGCCGTATTGCTCAGACCTCACCAGTGAGGAGGTGCGTACTTTGGAAGAGCTCCTCAAGCCTCCAGAAGATGAAGCTGAACACTACAAGGTAAAAAGCCCCATGATCTGTTTGTTTGTTTGCATTCCTTTGATCCTGTTCTCTTTCCAAGGAGCTCAGGGTGACATACATTAGCCAGTTTGGTGTAGTGGTTAAGTGCGGGGACTCTAATCTGGGAGAACCGGGTTTGATTCCCCACTCCTCCACTTGCACCTGGCTGGATGACCTTGGGCAAGCCATAGTTCTGTCAGAGCTGTCCTTGAAAAAAGAGCAGTTTCTGTCAGAGCTCTCTCAGCCTCATCTACCTCATAGGGTGTCTGTTGTGGGGAGGAGAAGGGAAAGGAGTTTGTAAGCCGCTCTGAGACTCCGAGTGAAGGGCGGGGTATAAATCGAATCTCTCCTCCTCCTCCTCCTCCTCCTCCTTTCGATCCCTTGCAAGGGGAAGGGAAAGGAGTTTGGAAGCTGCTCTGAGACTCCGAGTGAAGGGCGGGGTATAAATCGAATCTCTCCTCTTCCTCCTTTTGATCCCTTGCAAGGTGGTTTGAGCTGAGAGTGAAAGACTGACCCAAGGGCACCCAGTAAGTTTCACGGCAAGTGACCATGTGAACTGGGTCTCCCTTGCCCGAGTCGTCCAGCACTCTAAGCTGCTCCACACTGGCTCTCCTGTTTACGCCCTGTTCTTGCTTGAGTCTCTGGCTTCCCACCCTATAGCACTGGGTCACTACTAGCGTCATTTACTTGGGCCTGAGATGCCCTCTCCACCAGACAACCTGTGACAGAGCTCCAGGAGTATTAGGCCATGGGCTGTATTGCCCACTGAGCCGCCAGTGCTGTAAAGCATGGATTGCAGGCTAAGCTGTAGTCCCCAGGTAGTATGTTCCCTGCCTTTAAAACTCCTTTAAAGTTTCCTGCAATGCAGAATGTGGCAGCAGCTGTTCTGTTGCCCCCTGATAGAGCGGAAAACCCATTTTGCGGAACACCCATGTTGGCAGGCACAGCCCAAAGAGCCATCTTGTATCATGAAAAACCTCTCAGTTGGAAAAGAAGATTTCCCACCCACTTTATTAGGCCCTGATCCTGTTGTCCACCCTTCCTTTTGCTGGGGGGGGGGGTTTGCAGCAGTAGGCTGGAAGTGGAGCCACAGGAATGGGCAGGGGTGGGAGAAGCTGTCGTCCCCTTTACATTTACAGCTGTAGGGCTGTTGAGAGAAACAAGAGCAGCTCTCTGCCTTGTAGCCTGGCAATGCTACCGCCTCGGCTTCTTAAAGCATTTCCTTAGATGCCACAACTCCAACTCGTTTAAGCCGCCACCTTCTGCATTTTAGCCAGTTCAAACAAGTCCTCATGTTCAAAGGTAAATCTCACTAATTTCTATGAGAGTGACCCTCTTCAGAGTTCCAGCCTGCCAATACTTGCCTCGAGGTGTTTGCTTGCTGGGGCAATCCAGAGTGGGTGCAGATCATGAGTACGGGACATTAGCATATTGTTTATATTGTATGCGTGCCGCTGGTAGCAGTGGCCCTGTGAAAAACATACGTAAGAAGAGCCCTGCCGGATCTGACCAGTGGTCCATCAAATCCAGCCTCCTGCTTCAAACAGAGGCCAAGGCTGTCTCTGGACATTGCCTTCTAGCTCTGACAGTCAGAGGTTGGCTGCCTCTGAACATGGAGGTTCCCTTTAGTTGCCATGACTGTTATCCATTGGGCACATTACAGACACACAGACATGTGCGAGTGAGGGGAGGAGAATGAGCTGCTGCTGCCTCCGCACCCATTTTGTACTTACATAGCATAGAGCCAGTTTGGTGTAGTGGTTAAGTGTGCGGACTCTAATCTGGGAGAACCGGGTTTGATTCCCCACTCCTCCACTTGCACCTGCTGATGTGACCTTGGGTCAGTCACAAGCTCTGGCACAGCTGTCCTTGAAAAAGAGCAGTTTGTGTCAGAGTTCTCTCAGCCCCACCCACCTCACAGGGTGTCTGTTGTGGGGAGGGGAAGGGAAAGGAGTTTGTAAGCCGCTCTGAGACTCCAAGTGAAGGGCGGGGTATAAATCCAATCTCTTCTTCTTCTCTTCTTCTTCTTCTGGTCCCGCTGATCAGAATGTGGAATATCTTGGAATAGGTTCAGTATGAAGAACAACTAAAACGCAATCTTAAGGAGAGTTGCACCCTTCGAAACCCATTGATTTGAAAAAAAAAAAATAGAATAAAAACAAGTCCTACATATTGGCCGTGAGTGTGTTCCTGGGCGTGGCCATGTGGCTTCTGGAAACCTCCTCCAGCTGGCGGGCTGACCCCTTCCATTGGACCTGTGGAATAATGGAGTCATTTCCTCTTCCTCAGCCCAGGGAGTCATTTCCTCTTCCTCAGCCCACCCTCCCATCTGTTCTTGATGCTCTGAGTGACCCGGAAGACAATGGCTCAGTCAAAGGTGTTGGGGACACAGCTAGAGCAGGGGAGTCTGCTGTTTGGAAGTGGGGGTGGGTACCTCAGTTCCACATGATGTGGGTCAGATCATTTGGGGAAAGTGATGAGCTGAAAGGGAGTTGAGGATGTTGGGGAAAACTCAGCTGGGAGAGAGAGAAGGAAATGGTTCAGTGATGGTACAGCCGGATCTGGGCTTGCAGGAGAACAGTGATACGAGCTTGGCCAGAGGGGGCAAGGTGGACCTGGACTTTGTGTTTTCCCGGACTGTTGGCTGCTTCAGGTCGGTCCTGGAGTCCTCACGTTACTCATCTCACCTGTGGATCCTTGTCTTACAGATCCCACCCTTGGGGAAGCACTACTCTCAGCGCTGGGCCCAGGAAGACATGTTAGAAGAGCAGAAAGACGGAGCTCGGGCTGCAGCTGCCGCCGATAAGAAAAAAGGCATCTTGGGGCCGCTGACGGAGCTGGACACGAAAGGTCTTTTGAGCAGTTTGGTGGAATCTCTTGCGGATAGGGAAGAGGGTGTATAAAGGAGCATACCGGCTCATCCACTGCTGTGGTTGTGTGTTCCGTGCCAGACATCTGTTCCAGTCTCCCCCTCCCCCTTTAAAGTCACTTATCCAGTCTGAAGGCTGGGGCTCAAGGGCTGGATTGGAGGCACTGTCACTTCACATTAAGGCCTGGACTGACTCGGTAGATTTTTTCTCTCGTGGACCTCAGGATACATCCAAGGTTTTGCTTGTTTTGCCTCGGTGGAATGTGGTAGGAAGCTACAGTTGCCAAATCTGGGTTGAGAAATTCTTGGAGATTTTTTTGGGGGAGGGTAGTCTAAGGAGGCTGGAGTTTGGGGAGGGGGAAGGATCTCAGCAGGGTATAAGTTCACAGCGTCCACCCTCTGAAGCAGCCATTTTCTCCAGGGGAGCTGACCTCTGTAGTCTGGTGCTAGTTGAGATTCTGGGAAGTCTCCAGGGCCCACCTGGAGATTGGCAAAGTCCAAAACTCTTTCCCCCCCTGCAGTGTGTGTGTGTGTGTTTGGGTGGACTTCTGCAGTGTACTCCCTGCTGTTGTCCTTTGTGTGTGGCTCAAGCCGTCTCAGCCCAGGCAAGCCCCCGATCTCATCAAATCTCGGACGCTAAGCAGGGCCAGCCCTGGCAAATATTTGGATGGGAGACCTCCAGAGAACACCAGGGCCGGGAGGCAGAGGCAGGCTATCAAGCCACTTCTCTGAACATCCTCCATGCCCCAGTAGGAGTCGCCAGAGGTCGCCATGACTTCCAGGCATGCACAGAGTGCAAAAATACCCCCCAAACCCATCTCAGCCAGCACCCTCACTGCTCCTTCATTCCCTCCGCTCCAGATGTCGATGCTCTGCTGAAGAAGTCGGAGTCCCAACATGAACAGCCTGAGGATGGCTGCCCGTTCGGCCCTCTGACCCAGCGTCTCCTGCAGGCCCTCGTTGAGGTAAGTAGAACCAAATCCCAGTTACCCCTTTCTTTAGCTGCAGCTGGTCAGGGTCTCCGGCAGGCAAGAAGCTAAGCTCCTGCTCTCTCTCTCTCTCTGCCCTCCAACCGTAGGAGAACATCATCTCCCCCATCGAAGACTCGCCGATTCCAGAGATGGCCGGCAAGGATTCTGCAGGGGATGGTGCCAGCACTTCGCCTCGCAGCCAGAACAAGCCCTTCAGGTGAGCATCAGCCAGAGTGTTGCTTTCTATGGGGGAGTGGGTGCCAGGAAGATGTGGGGCTCCAAAGGCAGTATTGTGGTGCTGTAGCTCATGCTGTCTCTTCTGAGTGACCAGGGAAACGCAGAATGGTTTGTTGTGTTCACGGATGAAGTTTTACACGTAAGTGCAGAAATTGGCTGTGCCACAGAATTCAGCCTCTCGACCGTCAAAACCAAAACACGCCAAGTTTCCAACTCTGAAGATCAGGAAGATAAGCCCACTTGTTTGAGGGCAATGCCTGGTAAAATATCAGTAGTTGAGGAGGGTCAGCAGGATTTCCAGTGGCCGGGAGATGAGGCCTCTGTGGTTTGCAGAAGCAAAAATAAATTAGGCAGAATAAGCCAGCGCAAGTGGGAACTTGCGGGGGGGGGGGGGGGGTTTGTTTCTACAACTCCAAGATCTCTCTCTTGCTCAGTCTCTGCCAGTTCAGATGAGGCCTCTGTGGTTTGCAGAAGCAAAAATAAATTAGGCAGAATAAGCCAGCGCAAGTAGGAACTTGCAAGGGGGGGGCCGTTTTGTTCCTTTGCCCTCTTCTTCCCCTTACCATAATGGAGCCAATGGGTATGGGGAAGAAGAAATTTCTCTGAGCCTCATCTTCCCCCTCTGACACGCGGTGGCTTCCGAGAGAAAGTAGCCATTCATTCCAAGAGCGATTGCTATAGGGAGGGAATTGGACTTGGAGGGAAGAGAGCACAGACACCAAAGACAATGTTGTCCCTAGGCTCAGTCTCTTCCCCCCACCCATCACTCCCTGCCCAAACTCTTCCCACCTCTGATGTAGCCACAGCAGCAGGGAATGCAAGAAGCCAGCCAGTGGGGTGTCCAGCCGGTAGGCACCATATTCTAAGAGGTCTTGCGCTGCAGCAGCAGGCAACCCGTTTGTTCAGCTTGGGAGCTCCTCGCACTGGCTGATGGGGAAAGGGAATGCACGTCTCCTCTTGACTAGATAATTCCCAGCTCTCTTGTGAAATTAGAACAAATGCCTGTTTGGGCCCTCCAATGAGAGGGGTGTTCCTCGATGGCTCAAGGGATGCATGCGTTCATGTGGTATTGAGGAAGGGAAGCGGCAGGGACTGTTGTGCTTTTGTTTGCAAGGGAATGCAGGCTCTCCTCTTCTGGCAGAGATCCACTGTTCTCCCTCCTGTCCCCCATTTAGGTACCCATGATGATAATCTGCACGCAAACAGCTTGATTTACGAGTTGACATAGGCAGCTTTGTTTAACGTAGACAGGTTGTGCCTGCCAAAATCTGAAAACTACAAAGTCTGGTTACCATACAAGTTTTGACGTTGTTGAGTGTGTTGTTGTTGTTGTTGTTTTTGTTCCTCCTATTAAAGTGCAGAGAAAACAGCTCTTGGGGAGCCGATGTTGAGATCTAGTAATTTGTCCAGAGCTCATTCAGTGAGTTCAGGGATCTGAACTCTGAAGTCAAGAGTCCATTTTGTTTTCCATGGGAGAACACTGGCGCTCAGGATGGGTGGTCTTTCGGCTCTCATCGGACGCCTCCTCATGGGTGCTGCTCCTCCTCTCTCCTCTCCAGCGTGCCCCACACCAAGTCCCTGGAGGGCCGCATCAAGGAGGAGCTGGTTGCTCAAGGCCTGCTGGAGTCGGAGGACCGGCCTGCCGAAGACTCGGAGGACGAGGTGTTGGCTGAGCTGCGGAAGAGGCAAGCTGAGCTTAAGGCCTTGAATGCGCACAACCGAGCCAAGAAACTTGAGCTTCTCAGGTGAGGCCCCCATCCCTTTTGCCACCTGGAGACCAATGACTTTGGCCGCCGCCCTCTCCTTAGGAGTCGGGACTCGTCATCAGACCTTGGGTGGGGCTGGCCAAGATCGGGAGGCTGAAATGCCAGCGTGGTTGAAAGCCCCCCAACCTTTTTTTTTTTGTTTGTTTACCCGTTGCAGGCTGGCCAAGGAAGAGCTACATAGGCAGGAGCTGCGGCAGCGGGTGCGGATGGCGGACAATGAGGTCATGGACGCCTTCCGCAAGATCATGGCAGCGCGCCAGAAGAAGCGCACGCCGACCAAGAAGGAGAAAGACCAGGCCTGGAAGAGCCTCAAGGAACGTGAGAGCATCCTTAAGCTGCTCGACGGCTGACGCTGGGGTCTAGATGCAAGCCACGTTGGCCCGGCTCCTCTGTTCGAGTCGCAGCCTAGGCCCCCCCACTCTTAGGGGCAAGTGCACACTGCCAGTACAGACTGCAGCAGCTCCCTCCATCGGCTTTCCAGTGCCCTCTTTGTGCCCTCTTTGGCCATGTTGTAGCCAGGGTCCCAGACAAACCTGGGCTTTTGGCAGCCATCTTGTCCCTTCCCACAGGTGACTGCAACCATTGGTGCTGTTGAGATGGGGGCTGCCTTTCGCTGAAGGCTACAATTCCCACCCTAGATTATCTGTAGGTCTCTCTTTTCGTGACTTGGCATCAGGGCAGGACAGTACCACCTGCATCACGTTTTGGCATCGCATCAACTTTCAGAGCTGGCCTGCAGCACAGACTGAATCTCAAGAGCTGCCTTGGGTCTTCATTCATGTTATCGCCCACTGCTGTTCTCTCTTTGCCCTGCTTTGTGTGAGCCACCAGCAGCTGCAGGCACAATGCATTCTGGGAACAGAATTCTGCAATGACAAGTCTATGTGTCCCTCTCCCACTGCCTGTGTTGCAGCAGATGTGCATTCTTAACCTGACAACTCTGGGGGCTAGGCCTGAGTTAAAAGGGCCTGTGTAGCTCTGAATTTGTCCGGAACCAGCCCCTTCTTCCCCTGAGTGGTGCCTGCACTATCCAGTGCCGAACAGTAGAGGGAGCCATGCACTTCCTGATGGTACTTGTTGAGCTCTAACACTGGTCCAAGCACCAGCTGAGAGTGTGGAGTGCAGCACCCTACATAGGGGAACAGGAGTCTGAGACAGCTCTTGATGGCTTTGCTTTATTTCCTGTCTGGTTAGCCATTTCCTGTGGTAATGATAGGTCACACGTTAGTTTCCTGCCCATCTTGATGACATTAAAAAGGGATTGGCCTCTCGGAACTGGCCATAAGGGTCCTTGGGTCCTTGGTGGAAGAGGACCAGAGCAGTGGGTCAAGGAGAGGCCATACAACACGACAGGTATGACCAGGTGGGGGGGAGGGCTTGGCATTTAGGGAGGGGCAGAACTGGATCTAGTCACCCAGCTCAACCCTGTGTCCATCATACCTCCATGCAGATCAGGAATGGAATTGCCAAGGAGGAGTTTTGGGGGGGGCATTCTCCCAGAATGCTTTGCTTTACTCCAGCCATGCTTCATTTTTTTAGAACAGACTGTGGGAGAGCAAGAGAGTAAGCTGTGCAACAGGGAAACTGGAGCTCCCCACAGACCACCTCTTCTGTTCTGCAGGGAAGTAGAAAGACACTGGCTGTGCAGGGGCCACTTCGGTGGATGAAGGCTTCTTCCTGCAAACTCTTATGGGAGAACGCTGGGTCATGGGAGCAGCCCATCTGGCCAAGCTCTACCTGATTCAGGGGGGAGGGAGGCTGTGCAAAGCCACCCACGTCTCTGCTTCTCTTGGGTGACATTGAGCAGACCACAGCCTGACATTAGCTCCTTGAAGGCAGGCGGTGGGGGAGATGCCTAGTCTTGTCCTCCCTCTTGGCTCCTTTGCCCCATTTCTCCTCCTTTGCCTTGGCTGCTCCAGAAGGACCATGTTCACCATTACAACGTTCAGTCCTAAGACAATGCAACACTGGGGGAGGGGCTTTCTTCTCTGTCACAGTTGGATAGTGCAGCTACTGGAGCACAGTCAAAACCTCGGTGGGAGAATCTGGAGCAGGCATTTAGCTTTACATCGGACACTGTTGGGCTTTGGTGTCCAGTTTCCTGCTGCCGCCTTCTCAGTGTTTGATGTGTCTTTTGCTATGTGTTCTCAGAAGCATTCTTTGTCTGTTTCATTTTTAAAAAAAACTTGGAACCTTTTGCACCCTGGTATCGGCAAGTTTCAAAGCTGTCCTGTTGTGTCTGTTCTCGGGAGTTTAAAGTGTGTCAGGGTGGTTTTGGGAATAGCCTGGAGCTGGGATTGGGGGAAAGAGATTGAAGGAGTTCTCCACATATACTGTAGTGTGTGGCTGTTGCGTCAACATAGTGCCTCACAAGGATTCTCCCAGAATAAACTATTGACTACAGGAGCAGCAGTGGCTGGTGTGTGTGTGTTTGGATTTTCATTTTTACCCTATGGAAACTTCAGAGGTGGGAAGGTGGTATGGTACAGTTCAATCTCAGAAGCTAAGTGGGGTTGGTACTTGGGTGGGAAACAATGCTCCCTCTAAGCTATGGACTCCTGTGAGCAAAAATTCTTCTTTGTGAGCTCTCCTGTGAGCAAAAATTCTTCTTTGTGAGCTACTGGCATTAAAGTTGTGAGTGAGTGATTTGGCTGCTGCATCAGTTAGTCTGCTCTGGAGCCATCCTTCCTGAGCTGTGACAAAAATGTGTGAGCTGGAGGCTAAAAAACTGAGCTAGCTCACACTAACTCAGCTTAGAGGGAACACTGGTGGGAAACCACCAAGGAAGACGGGCTATGTAGAGGAAAGCAATGGTAAACTGCCTCTGCTCATCTCTTGCCTTTAAAGCCCCTTGCTATTGGCTGTGACAGGGTGGGGCAGACATCTTGTGGGCCTTCTGTCAAGGTATTAAAACTTATCGCCTTATCTTGTAACTTGGCAGCATGAGGGAAATGAGGACTTAATTCGCATGCGTTTTTATGCTGGGGGGAGTTAGTGATGGATGGAGGAATATGGATCTAATGTGTGAGTTGGGGAATGGCTGTTCACTGGAGGAAGAACACAGCAAAGCCTGTGTGGTAAACTGCCTGTCCTCTGTCCTGAAGCCCAAGGTGTGTCCTTTCAGGGCAGTAATCAGACCTCTTTTCCCATGTGTGTTCACATCTAAGGCTATAACTAAGACTACAGTACCTGTGAGGAGAAGAAGTGGTGGGTGAGTAGGTTGACCAGTGTCCCAGGATCCTGGGGGGTTGACTGAGATAGAATTGCCAATCTCCAGGTGGGCCCTGGAGATCTCCCGAATTAAAGCTCATCTCCAGGCAACAGAAATCACTTCCCAGAAAAAAAATGGCTGTTTTGGAGGGTGAATCTATGGAATCATAACCCTTTATGGTCCTCGTCCTCCCGAGGCTCCGCCCCCAAAATCTCCAGGTATTTCCCAACCTACAGTTGGCAACCCTGTTCACCACGACAGAGGAAGGCAGCTCTCCCAAGCCTTGTTCTGTGCAACAATAAGGACCAAAGTGCATCTGAATATGCGAGCAGTCTTTCCTAAATCATTCGAAGATGCTACACTTCCGGGATATAGACCGGAGGGTCGGGGAACGAGGTCTGATTTCTAAGCAGGCGGGGCGGGGGGGGGGGAGGCGGATCCATGCACTATTTGCTTTCTAGCAAGAGAGCTTCCTCGGGCCTTATGAAACCACGGAAGGCTTTCCGAATGAGGGGGAGGCTGTTTGGAAAACGCGTGCCAGCGGCAGGCCCAGCCGCGGGACAAGAGGCCACCCTGCACCTTGGGCGCTCGCGCGTGCGCGTATTTATGAATGGGAGAGCCTCTGCCCGCCTTCCCTCCCTCCCTCTCCCGCGGTTTACTGTTAGTTGAATCTCGTCGCCAGGCAGCTCCCGCCTCCCGAGCTCCGAATTGGTTGCCCGTCGGCTTCAGCCCCGCCCCCTCGTGGTGACATCTCTGGGGAGGGGGCGAGGTGGAGAAGCTGGAGGGCTGGAGGGGAGCGACGCCGCCGCCGCTTGGAGCCCTGCGCGCAGCGGAGTGGGGAGGGGGACAAAGGGGCCACTCCCAGCCAGCCTGGCAGCCACCCCCGGCGGAGCCAGCGCAAACCCCCATGTAAGTAAGGCGAGGGACTTGGCGGAGACAGATGGAAGTGGAATGGCTTGTTGTCCATCTCCTTGGCTGCGACGGGTGCCCCGGGCTACCTGTCTCTGGGCAGGGGCTGGCGCCGCCGACGTGCGTGGCACCTTCCGGAGCTTTTCTCCTGGGGTAGGGTTTGTCTGCCTGTCTCCCTTCCTCCAGATGTGGTGTGTTCCTCCCTGCACCTGCCAAGGTCCATGCGCGGCTGTCTGTTGTGCGGTTGTCTCTGTGCAGTTGTCTCCGTGCCGGTGTTCCTTCTGTCTATCGGTTCTCTGTATTGGACTTCTGTCTTCATGCTGTGTGTATGCGTGTGAGACTGAGCTTCGGGGTGGGGGGCTCTCTCCGTCTGCAGTTAGCATGCCAGCACATCTTAGCTGTGCGGCTCTTCCTTCCTCCATACCATTCGGCATGGCAGAGAACTTGCCTTGCTCTGCACACCTGTTCCGATGCATTGATGCTTTCTCTTTTGATGCATTGATGCATCTTTCTCTTTTTTGGGGGGGGGAGGTATGTGTGTGAAACACTCCTGAGCATGGAGGCGGGGGGGGGGGCATGTGCTGCAGTGGGTATGAATGTGCTCTGTTCCCCTGTACAGCTGTGACTGATCAGGTATTGGGGAAGGGCTGTGGCTGGGCGGTAGAGTACCTGTTTTGCATGCAGAGGACCCCAGATTTTATCATTGGCTTGGGAGCAGGTGTAAGGACTGAATCTGCCGAAGACCCTGGAGAGCCACTGCCAGTCACAAGAGCTGATATTGAGCTACATGAACCAGGGCTTGGCAGGGCATAAAGCAGCTTCATGTGTTGAGCTGTGGCTTGGTCAACATATGCAGCAGAATGAGGAGGTGACAGAGTGCTGAGGTGGTGGTAGGAAAAGGGACTGTACCATCTCAGACAGCGGGAGAGGGGATTGTATTTCTCAAAGGTACCCCCTACATTGATGATTCCCTATAAGTGAAAGATTTGCTCAGCATGTGAAAAGCTAGGCTGGAACCATTCTTTTTGATGTGCTGTATTTAAAAAAAAAATGCAGGGAGTTTTTAGATGAAGGGGCTCACTGAAAATGTGATGCTTCCCCCACCCCAACAGTCTGGAGTGGTGCAGCCCATTCTGCCACCTCAGGAATCTTATCACCACGTTCTGCTGTTTGTAGAGACTATTTGGTACAACCACTGCTGTGTGTGATCATACCTGGCACTATTCCATGTGAACCTTCACCCTCACCAGAGTCCATGAGTGCATCCTGTATGAGTGTCTCTGAAACAGAACATCCATCTGTGGTTTTTGTGAACACATGAAGCTGCCTTATACTTTATTTTATTTATTAGATTTTTTTAGTTGCCATTCTCCCAAAGGGTCTCGTGGTGACTTACATTACAACCAATAAAGTAAAAACAGCATTAAAATAATTAACAAATAATTAACAGCATTAAAATATTAACATTAAAATATGTAGCTATCACGATACCACTGTTAAAACAGCCCAAACGCGTGGTTACCCTCCAAATGCCAACCTAAATAATTCAGCTTTGCATGCCCTGTAGAAACTAAACAAATCCGGCAGGGCATGGGTCGGAGTCAGATCAGACCCTTGTTCTGCCTAGGTTGGCATTTTCTACTGTGTATGTGACAGTGGCTCTCCAGGTTCTCAGGCTGAGTTCTTTCCCATCACCTAGAACCTGGTCCTTTTAACAGGGGATGCTGGGGATTGAACCTGGGACCTTCAGCATGCAGAGCAGGTGCTCTGCCACTGAGCCACAGCCCCTCCCCTGATAGCACTTGGTGGGGATAACCCGCTATCTCAGATGGCATGCTCCTCTCTCTGCTACTCTGCACTGGGGTGGGAATGCACTGCAGAATTTCTTGTCTGTAGTGGTGTATCTGCAATTTTATCGGTGTCTGATTTAATCGTGCACATGTATCTGAAACCAGAGGTGAGCATGGACCTTTCTTCAATTTTCCATACGTGAATGTATCCCTGTGTGCAACTGCATGTATGGAGTCTTTTCTTGCTGTAGCACTTCTCGGCATCTGGACATGAGTGTTATATAATTCATTTGTACGCATTACATTTGTACACCTACTTTGGTGTTTGTAGAGCAAGATTCGAGTCGAGTAGTACCTTAGAGGCCAACAATATTTCCAGGGCGTAAGCTTTCAAGATTCAAAGCTCCCTTCGTCAGCTACCAACAGTTTTGTGTTTGTGTAAGTGTACGCAGTGTGTGACTATTTACTACTTCTGGCCACATTGTTCAGCTTTGTTCTGTCAAGTTCCTATCTTTGAATAAAAACCCTTTGTGATGATCGTCATTGTACGGGGGAGACTTTTCCAAATTATCTTTTCATGAACTGTTTCTTAAAGGCTGGGGTTTTTGGCTTTAAAAAAAGACTTAATGATAGTATTATCTTAATTCTGCTACAGTTATTATGGTTGTTACGGAGCAGCATGTTGTGTGGGGGAGTGATCCGACATAAAAGGAAGAGCAGGAAAAGGGGGAGTTCTGTAAAAAGTATTCAAAGCCTACAACAAACACTTAGTAGAAAGAAAATACCCATCACTTACAGTGCAGTCCTAAGCAGAATTGCACTCTTGTGAGTCTACTGAAGCCAGCAGACTTAAGAGATGTATAAGTCTGCTTAGGGTTGCACTGTTAGTGCCTCATTTCTGCACCAGAGATCTAGGCATCTTCTTCCTACGTTCTGCTTTTGAGAGATCTCATCTCTCTGCACTTGCGCTAGATCATGCTCTTTGGAGGTCTGGGGGGGGAAATGGAATCCTTTCTCTACAGGGGCCGTTGCTACTGATCTGACCACTCTGTGGACTGTTGTTCCCACCCTTGCTGTGGGCACCTGTTGGACAGCATCTGTGTCAACATGAGTAAAGCATATCTCCTCATGTCATGGAACTGTTTGCTCCCTTGTTTTTTTCTTTCAGGAAACCCTTAAGGCTAAGCGTTACCCTCCGTTAGCTGTATGAACTTGGAAGCACTCATCTAGCAAAGAAGTTGTTTTTTTCCCTTAATTGTCAGGCAGGTCCTACTGACAGGCCATCCTAGAAGCCCCCCCCCCCCTCTCCGTTTCAAACAGGTGCTGCGTGCTCCTCCTCCGCTACCCCTGACAACACAGCACCTTTTAAAAATTGTGTGTGTTGGTGGGAAAGAGCAGGATGGCTTTCTCTCTCCTCCCCCCGCCCCAGTATTTTTCTGCTATGTTCCCATATGGATAACAAGACAGCCTTCGTGTTGTGTGACTAACATCCAGGGTGAATGAGGAAAAATACAGATGGGACGTTTGTTGCTTCGTTGTCTGGAAAGCTATGCTCACGCTGACTAACTCTGGGATGTGTGCCTGAGCCTCTGGCCCTGTGCCTGGTTCTGTTGTGGTTGTGTGTGTGTGTGTGTTTCTCCTGTTGGTTCAGGCACCCTTGGAGATACTTGCCGTGGTGCCAGTGTTCCTTCTAAGCTGAGTTAGTGTGAGCCAGCTCACAGTTTTTAAGCCTCTGACTCACAGTTTTCTTAGCTCAGGAAGGAGGGCTCCTGAGCAAACTAATTTATGCAGTAGCCAGATCACTCACTCACAACTTTAATGCCAGGAGCTCGCAAAGTAGAATTTTTGTGCACAAGACCCCACAGAGAGGGAGCACTGCGTGGTGCCATTTCCCCATAGAAAACTGCCATGAAATGCCATGCAGTCATTGCTACAATAGGACGATATAACCATTTTTTAAAAAAGAAAATAAAAAGGGGGTGGGCTAATGGGCGTGGGAAAAGTGGGGAGGGGGGAAGGTAGGCGGGCTAGATCACTGCGAAGCAAAAGAAAAATCCTGGCAAACGAGGATCACGCTGATGCGGAGCAAATCGGGGAAAACTCCGGGCTAAAAGCAGGCTGCGAGTCAAGTGGTGTGAAATTGACAAGATGTACTGGAGGAAACAGAGGGTTCACCTCGGGCCAAAGTCTTGTGCGAAATCACCTTGTGTCTACCTTGGCTTTTGCTTGGAATCCTCTCTTTCTCTGCCTGGGCTTGTACCCTTCTGTGTACACAGAGCTATCTTTATGGGTTGTGTCTCTATGAGATCCATCACTGCACCAGCAGCTGAGAGTCAGATGGGCAGTCCCTTGACTTTTGCAGAGTTGCTGTGCGTGTATGACATGAACCGTGAACGCAAGGAGATCTGATAACTGTACTTTTGAGTGGTGTATGGTCAATAAAGGGGGCAGAGGTAGGAGTTCCACAGCACAGTGTCTGCAGTTCAATCCCTGGTATCTCTCGTTAAAAAAAAAAAAATCTGGCATGGGGCTTCTACTGATGTCCTAGAAAATTGTTGGCATTTAGAGCAGGGATGTCAAACATAAGGCCTGGGGGCCGGAACCGGCCCATCCAGGGCTGTTATGTGGCCCTCAAGCAACTGGTACAAGGAAGGGAGTACTGGAGGGAGTGGGCGGAGCCACTGTTGTGGCTTCAGCATGGCCTTGCAGTGAGGATACATCAACTTGGAGCTGTCCTTTATACAGTTTCTATCTCTGGTACCTGGCATGACATTGTTTTCGCACACATGGCCTGGCCCGTTAAAGTGACATTTATGTCACCTCTGATTTAGAGTCTCCAGGACTGGTTTGCTGGAGCATCTGTTGCTGTTCACACTGGGGAGGAAGGGGTTAGAAAGCTCCTTTCCTGTCTGACCATAGTGTCAGGTCTGGATCAAATTCTGGAACTCCTATGCTAAAGACAAAAGCTCCCTGCAAACGAACAGTAGCTCAGCAAACAAAAAGAGAGAGGCTTGATGCTTCTTTCCTAGCTGTGCTGGCTTTCTGTTTTCAGGGAGTTCTTTTTTTTAATATAAAGGGACATTCAAAGCTGGAGTTCACCCCACACCAGTGTTCCCTCTAAGCTGAGTGAGTGTGAGCTAGCTCACAGTTTTTTAGCCTCCGGCTCACACATTTTTGCCTTAGCTCAGGCAGGATGGCTCCAGAGCAAAC